GATATACATCTAGCTAGCTATATATTTACTTTATTGATAGTATTTTGGATCATCAATTATCTGTGAGGAGGATGTAGTAACAGCAATGAAAATGCAACCATGTCCCACAGAATATTTAAAAATATTAATGTAACATAAAAGATTGAATACAAAAGAATAAAATCACTATGCACATTTTCTGAAATATCACAAAGGGATAAGAATATAAAAGCTGTGCTGGGTCATAGAAAAGGCCCTTGATCCCACAATCCCATGTGTATTTTTTCCCATTTAGTTGCCAAGGAAATTTATTTATCCATGCACCTTTCAGAATAACAATCTTTTTGAAACTTTTTATAAAATCTAAAGTATTGTAAAGAAAAATACTATAGTATATGCATTACATCAGTGGTGGGATTCAAATTTTTTTACAACTGGGTCTATGGGTGTGGCTTAGTGGGCTTGGGTTGGCTTGGTGGGTGGGACAGGAGAAGGATACTGCAAAATCCTCATTTCCTCCCAATCAGCTGGGACTCAGGAGGCAGAGAATAGGTAGGGGCAGGGGCAAGTCAGAGGTGGGATTTACCGGTTCTCCGAACTACTCAAAATTTCCACTACTGGTTCTCCAGAACTGGTCAGATCCTGCTGAATACCACCTCTGTACTACATTTGATTTAACTAAAAGGCAAAAAAAAGTATTAAATGTCTAGAATCTTCTTCATCTGCCAATGTGTTTGGTAATGACAGTAGTATTTTTTAGCACTTGTCACCTGCCTTCCTTTATAAGAGGAATGGAAAGCCTTTCCCACTTAAGTTCCAGCAGTTGGTTTTGAAAAGATGACTCTTCTGAAGCTGGAATGAATGTAGAACCACCATAACTGGGATGGCAAGTAGCTATTGGCAGGGCCTTTTTTAAAGTAGCATTTCCCCCAATAGCCATGTGCGCCCTAGGATCCCAAGAATGATGGCAGATTGCAGATTACATTTGTAAAATATTAAAATGTCTTTTCTGATTTCTACAGGTGCTAAAATTGCAAGCAGAGGAGGTCACCTAGAGAGAATCTTTGTTGTAGAGTTTCGTCCAGATTCTGATACCCAGTTTGTTTCTGTTGGAGTAAAACACATGAAGTTCTGGACTCTTGCTGGAAGTGCTTTGCTCTATAAAAAGGGAGTGATAGGTTCGTTGGATGATGCGAAAATGCAAACCATGCTTTCGGTGGCATTTGGAGCAGTAAGTAGTCTTCATGCTCTTCTTTCTTGTTTTGTGCAATTTGTGGAGGGAAAAATTAAATCAATATGTTTACTTGGGAGTAAATGTAAGTGAACATAAAGAGAGATGATACAACATTTTCTTTATAGAATAATGCTAACAAAACCAGTATCATGGGTGGGGGGACATTCATCCTAGATACAGTACAAAGTCTTTATTGCTAAAATAGGTTCGATACAAAAGCTTGGATAGCAATCATGTTAGTTCTGCAGAGCCATCTCTATTTTACCAAACTGGATGCTGAAGCAAAGAATTATGTCAAAAGGTAGCAAAACTCAATATTTTATAGCATCTACAAAGCAGATTGTTGTGGTTTCTTTCAGAATAATCTCACTTTCACTGGTGCCATCAATGGAGATGTTTATGTGTGGAAAGATCACTTTCTAATTCGACTTGTGGCAAAAGCTCACACTGGCCCCGTCTTTACGATGTATACCACTCTTCGTGATGGGCTCATAGTTACTGGCGGGAAAGAGAGACCGTAAGGAATCACAACTCTTTTCTATGTGCAGTCACTTATATAGCCAAGTATCCTTCAGAAGGAAGTCCAAATAAGAATAAGGAGCGTGAGGGTTTATGGCTGACTGGGGAAAGAAAAACTATTTGTATCCTTCACTTCCTGAGCAGTGCAAATATGGGCTGCAAAAAACAGTAGTTGGGCTGAGAAAAACAAACAAAGAATATGTTTTGGGAGTTCTATGTTGGATTCTAATTAAGATCCAGCTGTCTAAAAGCCAAAGCTTCTGTAGCCAAAATGACAACTTCACATGATGCAGGTTCAACAACTTAGATAAGCAAAAGTAAAATACCTGACTGACCATTTAGGGGGGGAAATGAGATAGGAAGATTAGAACGAAGTGATTGGGACAAAACATAGATATATTTATGTATATATTAAAGATATAGAGATTAGGAGGATATATGAAGATAACTCATCTTTTTTCACACTGGAACTGTTTTGAATGCCCTCCAAAATACAAGTGAGAGCTTCCTTTCATAAATAGCTATGCTTCCATCCATCCATCTATGGCATCCATCTATTTGAAACTATCATTTCTAAGGGCTGTATGCTGTATACACTATCTATTTACAGTCAGGCATTTCCACCATAGATCATTTGTATCTGCTACCTCCATCTGAAAACCTAGAGTAAATTTCTTATTTATCACTTAGTACCAGAGATCTAGTTGTAAGGGAAACCGTATGGCCAACCGTAGGTATTACAGGATCATAAGGATTTGAGGAGAATTGAATATTTCTTACGTATTTCTTCTATTTTCAGAACGAAAGAAGGAGGGGCTGTAAAACTATGGGATCAAGAGATGAAGCGCTGCAGAGCCTTTCAACTTGAGACGGGACAGATTGTGGAATGTGTGCGCTCAGTGTGTCGAGGAAAGGTACCTGAAACACACAAAATATATTGCCTGTTCCTTTCCTTACCAGAGTCTTAATATGTTAATATTGAGGGTTAAATGAACCTAAATAGACTGTCACTTAAAGAGAGGAGGCTGAATAGCTACAGTGGATAGAGACAAGCAGAAATACAGGAAAGAGACTTACAAATGCCAATTTCATTACACCTTATTATAGTTAATATTCTCCCATTCAGTGATATTAAAATTTGGCAGCAATTTTTAGAAGACTTTTTTTAACCCTCTGGCCATTATGTTATGCATCTTTATCATTATACTGTACGTTTCTTTATAAGAGTATGCAATGTTTCCTTTCCCTCAAGAACGCTGGAAAAGATTTTTGAGGAAAAGATTTCACATCATTTTGGGGATAAACTGATACACCACCATTAGAATTATATAGGATAAATTTACCTAATGTTATATGGTCATAGAAGGAGGGGTATGATTTTTAATATTTGTAAGAAAAAAATTATGAATCAAACATTTGTAAATTGTGGCAGAAAATCCAGTTCACAGTAATTTCTATTCCAAACTGCTGTCCTTGTACTCTTTTGCTTCTTTCTTCCTATTCTCCCCATTTTTAATTGAACAACATAAATATTGAACAAAGATTCAAAGAGTCTTCTGTGTGTTGTTTTTCTAATCCCAGATATCTTTGAATTTTCTATAGGGTAAAATTTTAGTGGGGACCAAAGATGGAGAAATCCTTGAAGTTGGAGAAAAAAATGGTGCTTCTAATCTTCTAATTGATAGCCACATGGAAGGAGAAATTTGGGGCCTGGCAACTCATCCATCCAAAGATATATTCATATCAGCTAGTAATGATGGGACTGCAAGGATCTGGGACCTTTGTGATAAAGTAAGAAGTGCTTGATCCAAAATACAGAATAAGCTTTCAATCTGTCAGAATTCTTGGCTGCTGCTACACTTAGCACACTCCCAGAAGAATTTTATGTATGCATACTCAGAATATGTTCACTATAATTATGTTTAGGATTTCAACTTCAGTGTCCATGATACTTCATAGATTTTTCTGTTTATGGTGAAATTTATGAAGTGTATAAATCCAAAATAGTTCTTCTATTATTGCAGCTAATAATGATTAGTTACATAATATATGTAAAAATATTTCAAGCAGATTATAAATCATGTATTAAAAATGTAATTGAACATTATTAACATTAATGAAATGCCAATTAAAATTTATTCTTTTATCAACCATGCTTTCAATATTGAGAAAATTGAATGTGCTCTTTATGAAAATTTGTTATTTCCAATTTTACCTTAGAGGGGAAAGACTTTACATGTTATTCCATGAATAAGTTCTAGCTAACTTACAAAATCTAAAATTCAATTTAAAATACTGCAACAATGGAAAAGTACTACTATAAAACACTCCATAAACCATTGTGACTACCTTAAACAGTAAGCAACAACTATGTGAATCTGGGAGCAAAATGGCTTGCCTACATAGCTGCGTTCTGGGTCAACTGCATTTTCAATGACTCAAACATCTTGAGTCATCAGTGCATTTTCCACATCTCTGAACTCCAGACTGAACTTATCACGAAAGCTAATAAATGTTTCAGAACTATATTAACCCACTAAACAGGATTGGGCATGAGTATATAGAGCTATGAGCTTCTCTGTGTCTCTGAGCTAAATGTAGAACTGAAATTCCTTGTATTTAACTTCTTTCTCTCCCTCTCTTTGTGTCTGTGTGTGAGAAAGAGAATGCTATGAGAGGTTTTTGTTGTGGCCACTGCCCCCTTCAGCAACTGAATCAGATGAGGAGGAGGCATGGGAGTCAGAGCCAGCATCAAGGCAATCTGAGAGCTCCGAGGGGGAAGAGGGAATGGAGCTGTCAGAGATAGGGACAGAGACAGAGCCTAGGCCATCCATCAGCCCTCAGGTGGAGAGTCAACAGCTCTCAGGTCTGGAGGTGCTGATGAGGAACAGGAGGAACAGTTGGGTCCAGTGCCTGACATGCAGATGCACAGAAGGCAGAGAAGAGGGAAATCTATGGGCCAGTCCTTGGGATGGAAGAGCCACTGCTGCTAGTGAAGCCTCACCCTAGCTCTGGGGATAAAAGGCAATGGGGGGAGATGAATAGCTGTAGGCAGATA